ATTCTGGCTCAGAAACATATCCATTACAGGAGTACACAGCATTCATCACAAATTAGAAGTAATGCTTTCCATTGATTCATAATTAATTACTGTGAGAGAGTGCCCCACAATGACTGAAATTGATTAATTAACTCATTAGAGAGTGAACACTATAAAGGGAGAAATACAGATGAGAAAGCGTGGGATACACAAAAATCCCCCTTAAAGTTTTAGAGTGAGAGTGAAAAAACCAAAAAAATGAGTCTGTAAGATGAAAGTAATATTGAATTCATTTTTTTTTGAGATTAAGACGGTAAGAACATTATAGGTTGAGGGATAGGAAGTGATTAGAGAATGGGGAGTAGAGCGTTAAGCAAGAGCTTCGAAATCACACTAGATGTAGAGGGAAAACAAGTCAATGATGTTTGAAAAGACCATATTAGGAAATAAACGGAAAAGCCGGAGCACAAAGTCTACAAAGGAGTCAAGATAATGGAATAAGAAGGGTGGAACATACGAATGTGTCGGATACTGCTCGGGGATTTGTAAGTTTATGCGAATTCATCGAAAAATAAGGAAAGAGAAACATAAAGGAATCAGGAAAGATAAACATCGGAGAGGAATACAAAGGAGAAGTAGAGGCACGCGTGTGTGAACAAAGCGGAAGCAAAATGAAAATGGCATATCTTATCTTCTAAATATAGAATCGCAGTGCAGGGAGCTCGTCTCCCTTACATTGAATAGTCTCTGGATTCAGACCACGGAGGGAGGTGACGTCACAGGCGTCAGGGAAACTATATTCTATAGTGTTGTAGTATTTAAAAAGCATGTAAAGTAATATAATGGCATGAGACGTACATGGAAACCCTAACACAACAGAGTAAGTTCGGGGACTGTGTTTCCTCTAGAGCTCTCAGCTCATCTCCACCACTTCACGAGATCCCAACCGTCACAAACTAGATCGCGTGGTGGAAGTTCCAGTACTCTAGCTTTTAGCGCTAGTATGATTTACCATATCTCTTGCAAGAACAGCATTGGTATGGGAGCATGCGAGAGGTACGAAACAGCATCCATCTAGTGTCAGGGTTGCGCTTCGAAAACCGCGAGCCTCCCCTTGAAAGGAACGATATTACTTAGTCAAAAGGCCGTCTACATGGACCCACCACTTCCTCTTGAAACGTTGAATATGTATCCGGTTTCAAGCCCGACAAATAATCTGAGTATGAGTCTGAGAAAATCTTGTCATTAGGCTATTGAAAAGAGAAAAAATCGCATTTAGTCAAATCAAGTGCCTATATACTCTAGGGCGAGGTTCAATTTTCGCCACCGCTTGGTAGTGGAAAATTGTACGATTGGGGAACTATAATTGCATTCCAATAATGCTATAATTTGGGTTGAAGAGATATGGATCATTAATCATTAACATTACTGAAGGCGGTTAAAACACTCCTTCCCCCGATTCCCGAGTGCATCACTCACTTTAACCTCATGCCTTGCTAGCTCAATTGGCAGAGCGTGAGACTTTTACCCTCAGTGCTCCTATGTGCTCGAAGACAGAATAATTTCAAGATTGCGGGTTTGACCCCTGTATGAGGCGACACCTTTTGTTAACGAAGACTGAAAATTATCAATGGTTACTGGGTCATTGATGGGGAATTCAGAGTAAGAGATATGGCACCAGACAATTAAAGGGGAAAAATTGTATTGTAATGTCTTGCCCCTAACATGTAATAGCTCAGACATAAACGGATTTTTAATTTATTTCGGTTATAGTTCACCTGAACCTTTAACGCCCTCAGACTGACTCGAAAATACTTAACTTCCTTGCATCCCTCCTTCTTTTCTTAACTATCCCATTCCCTCCCATTCCATCACTTTAAATTATGTCGTCCGCAAGTGAGCCCGCTATTGGTATACATCACATCACATCATTTCTTCCTTAAGCTCTGGACTCTTTATAATTGACTGCGAACACTTGATATTCAGGTTCAGTCACAATCCTACTTGCGTATCGAATGATCTCATGATCCTATCCCTCTCAGGCTCCCTCAACGCCATCCATCAGTGCTCAGCTCAGCGCCGGCTATCCCTGGACCTTCTCAACAGCGCTTTCTTTCGAATAGCTACATCCTCGACCTCGTCCTACTCCGAGTCGAGTCTGACCTGAGAGTCGAGTGAAATATTGCATAATCCCACATAGTCGCACAGCGAAAATGTCATATCTGCATCCATTATCATCAACCCACATAGCTCTCTACCTCGTTCTCACTCCCTCCCCCAATATCCTTCCCTCTATCTCTCCCTCTGACCACCTCTGACCACCACGGTCCATCCTGCTCTTCGTCATCATCACGTAGTGGGGCGAACGTTATATGCGGTGATGTCTGCCCTTCTCCCCTCCATCTTCATCATCCTCCGTCTCCTCATCGCCCTCGCCCTCCCGCCTTTCATCATCCTCGTATTCGTGTTCATCCCTGTCACCACCCCCAACAAGACTATGCATCCGCTTCAACACCTCCTCGGACTCTTCCCGCACTGCAACGCGCGAGCGGGGGGTTTTGGGGATCACGCTCCATCTTATTCCTTTTCGTCCTTCTTCCCCGAGTCCTCCGGGTGCTAGCGTATCTTGGCCTCCATCGTGCTCGGCATCGTCGGCATCCGTCTCGCCGTTGTCGTCATCGTCATGCTCTCTATCATGTACCGCTCCCGCTCCCTCCTCCGCCTCATACACACGGAAAGACGGTATCGTGGGTGAATCGCCCCTAGTAGGCGAATCCTCCCTCCCTCGAATCGTCGACGCTTCACTCCACCCCTCCATCACAGGGCTCAAAGGCGACGGCGACGAGAAGCTCCGCTTAGATGGGTTCACAGACGGCTGGGAGTAATTAGACATCGATACGGAGGGTGAGGGTGTTCCGTATGGGTAGTCTGGCTCGGGGGAGGTCGGACTCTAGGTGGGCTCGGAGGGTGTTACGGTTGGCGTTGGGATGGATAGGGATGAGAGGGCGGTGGGATCTGCGGATGTGTGGGGTACAGCGCGCGGGGTAGAGACGTCGCTGTATATCGAGAACGCTGAATCAGGTGTGGGTGCGATGGGGTAGGTGTGTTGTTGGATCGCTAGTTGTTGGATCGCTAGGACTTGGCCTCCTCCTCCTGGGGTCGTTGGCGATGCAGCTGATGACGCTTGTTTCTGTTTAGAGCGTAAGGCGTTGTTCTCCGTCTCGACGATGTGCATGTCCACTTTGAGGGCGTCCCGCTGGTCCGCGACGATGCGGAGCTCTTCCTGTTTCGGTAGCTTTGCGGTTGGTCCGAGACCATCTTGTTTGCCTGTCAACATCAACATCATTAGCTTGTTGTAATAAGAGGATAAGGATGGGTGGAAGCGCACCTCCACAAATAACGCCTGACTCAGGCTTTCGAGCTCGTCTTCTAGCTGCTCCTTCGACGCGGCCAACTCTTCCGCTTTCCTCCTTAGCTTCTCTAGCTCCGCGGTGAGCTCCTTCTCCTTTTGAGTCGGCGGTGGTGGGGGTGACGCGCTCCCTGATCTTGATGCGGTGCTGTGGCCAGAGGTGAACGGAGGGAGCAACGCAGGGATGGAGATGAACGCGGTAGGTGAGTCTGCTGAAGCGGCACGCGTTCGGTCTGTGGATGTCGTAGGCGATGTATTAGATGGCGAAGCAGACGATGAGCGAAACGACGACGTGAAGTTGAAGAAGCGGGAGGTCGTGCTTGGTGGAGTACTTGAAGAAGGCGTTGTATCGAACGACCGACTCGGATGGTGTTCCTTCAGCGAATTGGATCGTCGGAGGTCTTCTCGCGCACCAATCGCGTTCTCCGCGCCACGCTCAAACGTTCCCACGCTTCCTAAGATCTTGTTCACCGCCAACGACGACGGCGCGCAGCCCACATTGCATGACGACAACACTCCCAGGGACGTTCCCAGCAGTCCAAAGCAGCCGCCGCGGCGCACGAACTCGCTGTCCTCGAGCATCGCCAAGCCGAAGCCCACCAGTCCCATAATGCAGTCTGCGGACGATGCGAAGACCGCGAGGGCCCTGCTTTCGACGCCGTTGTCGACGCTGAAGGCGGAGGAGAGGCTGGGGCCTGAGGAGAGTGAGTGGAGGAGGGAGGAGAGGGAGGGCGAGTTGGTCGGTATGTTGGCGAGAATGAATGGGTGGAGGAGCTGCTACGTACGATTGCTCTACCTTGCGGGATCTTGCTAATGTGTTCATTATGCTATTGTTATCTGTTTTCTTAGGGTAGTCTACTTAGCGGTATCCTGATTCTTAATTAAAGTGTATCTAACAATCAACTTGAATAGAAAGCTATACCTTCACTTGAAATGAATACAAACTTATGCTTTCACTTAAAACTTACAGTAAGTGAGTAGTCCTAATAAGATATATCAAATAATCATTGATATTTGAGGTGTATATACAGCTCAGTAGTAAGTAAGTAAATAAATATGAATAGTGAATACTAAGAGAAAGAAAATGAATTTTTTGAATTTTTGAACTTATACCCTGATCAGTCTGACCAAGCCTGACCAAGCCTAACCAGCTTGACTAATCTGATCAGTCTGATCAAATCAGCCCAATCTGATGGCCTGATACTGCCTGATCATGCTGGGTCGGGCACTTTGGATTTTGTGACAATGCCGGCAATTGCGGGACTTGGAGACTGGTGAATTGGTGGCCTGTGTGCAGCAAAAACTGAGCTATAAGTTCAAATGGTATTTTTTAATTCTTTGCGAGCTCACTATTAGTTTAGGCTGTGGAATCAAGCTGTGTTATCTCAATTCTTCAACACCGGAGAGCCTCACCAATGATACTCGGAGTCCAGTATTTAACTCCGGTCAATTTGATGCTCTACGAGAGATGTACAAGAAGATCTTCGGTTTCTTTTACACTCTAATTGAGTATGTATGTCCCTCTCAACATTCCGAAGAGCTAGGGAATATTGAACAGGAATTAGGAACAGAAGACGAGGCTTTTGTAGAGGACGCTCCAGATACATCTAAAATGTATGAGGTCTTATTGGACAAACGGTCACCAAGGTCTCTAACTCAGGCTGCACTGGAAAGCCAATTCTCCGCAGAGATAAATATGGTCATCTCTTTATTCAGTAAGCCATTTGATTTTTATTATTGTTCGGAGGTACTTAACTAAAAGAATATCTACAGGTGCGAGAAATGACAAGCTGGCCGCAATGCCCACCTCATCCTTCTTAACTTGAATGTATTTAATATTGATTATTTGGAAGCACTGTTATCAAGCGATGAGAACAAGATCCGAATTCATGGAGATATGGCTCTCCAAGATGGATATGGACCTCTCGCTCCCTGCACTTATTTCATCTCGGCACGGGATCAAAAAATATTTTAGTTAGAGTTATCTCACTCACTGAAAAGAATTCCAGCCTATTGGAATAGGAACGAACAAGGAATACTTAAACAGGGGACTCTCATTCGTCAAGGAAATTGCCTAACCCGCTTCGAAATTTATTATCCCTATGACCTTCAACGCTGTCCAAAGATCCTCATTGTCAGACGCAATCCACATGTACATCTTCCGCCTCCACCTTCGAAGACCCCAGCTATAGTGAGACATGTGTTCAATTCTCTGTGCTGGAAAGACTGGATTGGCGGCTGGCCGATGCAACACCACCTAAATCCTTCTGGCTTCTGCGTTCACGTCGGGCCTGAAATATCTATTAGGCTGGGAGGAATCGCAACCCTCAACCTTACTGGATCTCCATGCCTCACTTGTAAATTTCCATCACACAGAACGCTTCAAAAATATTCTGTGTCAAGAGTACTTCCCTTCTGGCACTGGATTTGAAGGTGAGTAGCTACTGTTTTTTTTGGAATAGTATTATCGTACCGTCGTCTGACAACCCTCAGTGTAATTTTTCCATACCAATGATATTCCTTATTCGAGTTCTGCACCTTCGGATCCGCTATCATATCCCCATGCATCTTCTTCACTTTATAGTTATTCCACCGCGGGTCACCCTTTGCAAGTACAATATAGAAGCCAACTCTACACTCAATCTTTTCATAATATTCCTTTGCAATCCTTTGCTTCCCCTCCTACACTCAGTTCCCTAACCTTTTTGTCCTATCCACACTCTCAATATCACCCCCATTGTCCGCCCTTCTTGATATCGTATTCCTACCGCTATCATTATCCCCCTTACCCTCATCACTCCTAAGTATTTTTCGTCTTTTATTTAGATTTTCCGATTAATAAATACTTATGTCTTTAAATTATGGCGCCCATGCTCCGCTCTATAACAGTCTATAACCCAGTCGCTAGAGAGAGCGAATCTAGGGGACTAGTTTCCTCTTATAGCAGCTGTGTTTGGCGAAGGTTTGGCGGCAGTGCCGAGGTGCCGAGTCGTACCAATCGACTGTGAACTCATTTTAAACCAATCTTCCTGAATGCTATTTCTCCCGTCTGGATGATTTCCCAGGGACCGTGGCAGCGACTCCTTAATTAGCTTTGTTTATCGGGGTGTACACTAACGGACAAGGCAACCTCCAGTGTCCAACCGCAGGAGGCATAGTGCAGGTGCCTTAAATGTCTTCTTTTCGGC